CCTTGGAATGCGGGGTGGGAGCCGGAGGAACCCCCGAGGACCCCTCATCGGGATCCCTCCGGCACAACGAGGACCTTGGAATGCGGGGTGGGAGCCGGGGGAAGCGGCAGGGACCCCTCATCGGGATCCCTCCGGCACAACGAGGACCTTGGAATGCGGGGTGGGAGCCGGGGCGGGCGGCGGGCGCTGAAAGCCGATCGGGGCCGGGAGGTCGGAGGGGAGGGGAGGTCGCGGCACTTTCCGGGAGGTAATTTGGGAATATTAGCCCGGCGCGTGCGGATGGAGCCGATAAGGCTGACGGACACGGAACACCCCGGAGCCTTTGGAAGCCTCGCGGTGGAGCAGTTTTGGGATAGAGCGGGGTGTGGGGAGGGGTTTTCCCATGGCGAGGGGGTTCGATGGCGCGTGGTTGGGATGAGTGGGATGAAGCAACTTCCCGGCCCTCGCTGGTGTGATCCAGGTGGGAATGCCGGCCCTTGGAAAAGGAGGGGGGGGGGAATCCCTTAGATTTTTCCAGAGTTGCTTTTGAAATCTTTTTGTCCCGGACAAACTTCCAAAGCCACAACCCAGCCCTGCCCCAGCCCCGGAGGGAAAAAAAAAAAGGGCTTAAAATAGGCATAAAAAGCACTTAGAAAGGCATAAAATAGATATTAAAATAGATATTAAAAGTATTTAGGTAGATAGGAAATGTATTTAGGTATCAGAGTAGATATCAAGTGTATTTAAATAGATAAAAATAGATGTGTATTTAGATGTGGACTAGATGTGTGTTTAGATATAGAATAGAGATAAAACCTATTTAAATATATATAAAAGAGATATCAAATGCCTTCAGATATAAAATGGATATAAGATGCACATAGACAAAGGACAGATATAAAATGTATTTAAATCAACATAAAACAGATACAAATTTGGAACCTTCAATACAAACATCATTAAATCGATGTAAAATAGATATAAATGTATTCAAATTGATGTAAAATAGAGATGCCATGATTTAAATCAACATAAAATAGATATTGATCTGAAATGGACACGTGATGACTCAAATTGACCTAAGATAGACATGCAATGGTTTAAATTGACCCAAGATAGATATGCAGTGGTTTAAATTGACCCAAGATAGACATGCAGTGGTTTAAATTGACCTTAGATATGCGATAGTTTAAATCTATATAAAACAGATAGGATGATCTAGCTAAACGGAAAACAGATAAACAATGCATTTAAATAGATAAACAGTGTATTTAAACGGGTATGAAACATATTCAAATAGGTATAAAACGCATTTAAATTGGTATAAAATGCATTTACATAGGTACAAATCTCATTTAAATGAATACAGAAGACACACAGATGTACTTAAGTTACCTAAGACGGACAACAAACGCCCTTAAATCACCTAAACCAGACCCAAAAGACATTCCAAAAGCCATATTTACCTCCCTAATTGACGTTGTTCCCCCCCTGCTCTCTGTCTCTCCGGCTGCAGACCCCGCCGTGATTTCCCCCCAAGACCCCACCCTGCTGATCGGCTCCTCGCTGGTCGCCACGTGCACGGTCAGCCCGGACTTTCCGCTGAAAGCCGAGGACCTGTACTGGACCCTGAACGGGCGGCGCCTTCCCGCCGCCTCCTACGCCGCCCTGGGGCCCTCCACGCTCAGCGTGGCCCTCGCCCGCCTCAACGGCTCCAGGCAGCAGTCGGGGGACAACCTGGTGTGCCACAGCAGAGACGGCGGCATCTTGGCCGGCTCCTGCCTTTACGTTGGACGTACGTCGGCGCGGCGGTCGCGTCCCCTCGCGGGGTCTCGGGGGGCTCCCCGGGACGCCCCCCTTGGTTCTCGCCAAAGCTGCTCCGCTCGGAGCTCCCCAGGCCAGGAGAGAGGGCTGTTTTTGGCGAAAATAAAACGCGCTTGTCCGAATCAATAATCGTAAGATTTTTATCTCCGGGGCTATTTTTAAAATGAAAGGACGACGCTGACGCCCCGGGAACGCAGGATCGGGACGGGGAATGCGGCCCTTGGATTTGTTGTTTTTTTGGGTCGCTACGTCCCCGGGGAATACAGAGGCTTAGATGGGAATGCGGCTCGGGTTTGGGGTTTGGGTTGCCATGGCTGAAAAAAAATGGCTCTGGAACTTCTTGTTTTTGTTTTTTTTGTCTCCCAGTACCCCCAGAAAAACCGGTCAACATCACTTGCTGGTCCAAAAACATGAAGGACCTGACCTGCAAGTGGGCGCCGGGGACAGAAGGAGAGACCTTCCTGCACACCAACTACACCCTCAAGTACAAGCTCAGGTGGGTGTTCATCTTAATTCCGGTTATTGTTAAAAACACCGGCGTGGGATTTAATGGGAAACAGGGAA